GTGAGGAGGGTGGGTTCAGGCTTCAAATTGACGCCTGCATAAGTTTCCCTCCTTTTCTTGCATGTAATTTGCATTTTTTTTTTTTTCGGAATTCCGGTGGTTTTTTTTTTGCCCTTACAATTTTTTCCAGTATTTTCTTGGTTTTAGTTCAGTCCAGTTTCAATTTTAAGTATAGGTAGTTCAGAGTTTAAGTTTGTAAATAAAACATCAGCAGATATAGATTGCCGGCAAGACAAATGTAAAATAATCATAAGATTCATATCGTACATAATTATGGTTGCACGGATCTCTTACAGAAACAAATCATCTGCGATTGCAATTTCCCACATGCCACAACACTATTTGAAGAAGGAAATTTTTTGTAAAAAATATTTGTAAAAAATATAACGTAAATAATTGTACATACATGTACATGATGACGTTGAGAAATAAACAGCGAGAATTGCTATCTATCCCTCCCCATCTGGCCTGGCGCGACGCCAGGCCCGGCCCCCGGGGCTCAGCCATCCCGCGCTTCTGGGCCCACGGCCCAGCGAACTACCATCAAATGTTCCCGTATATGCATTGTCAGAGCACGCCCAAAGAACAAACAGGTCTCGTTTAGGTTGAAAGATTAACTACCAAACTTATCAAATTGTCATTTTCAGCAACCACAAAAACATCAAAAATCCATTCGATTTCGACTTCCTTAGGAAAAATGTGACATTTCGCCATGATATTTTGGATCATCCATTGATACTGTTAATGGTGTTTTAACCCTTTTTTGAGTTTTACATGGTTTCGAATAGATTGTTTAAAAAAAAATATATTGTGATGATGAAGAACCTCGTTTCGAACAAGGAAATGTTTCGGACTTCTAAAATGGTGGAAATGCTGGTAAATTGTTCTTTAAAAAAAACATTGTACACCCCTAGACCGTAAATGGTGTGATCCACTTTCGTGACATTCTATCCCGTTGCTTGCGTGTGTTGTGCTAGCCTTTAGTCAAGTCCCACGCGCTTACCCGGACACGTGACGCACCCCGGATGCTGACACGTAAAAAGACTAGGACGAGCGGCGAAGCCGCGAGGGCCTTTACCATCTCGTGGAGAACGCTTATGTTTTTCTTTACATTTGTCTACCGATTTGGTAGACATGCATAATGCATTACCCATTGTGAATTGACCAATGAAAATGCAGAATTACTAACGTAAATCATGCAGCCGTCGTCTGGCCCCAGACAGCCATGGCGCGCGTGCTGTTGCTGGTAACCGCAAGCCACTGTTAGATGATTGGTTTATATTACTTGATTTATATTACGTGAATAAATGAATAAGTGATTAGTTCCACGAGATGGTAAAGGCCCTCGCGGCTTTGCCGCTCGTGCTAGTCTTTTTACGTTCCAGCATCCGAGTTGCGTTACGTGTCCGGATGGTTTGGGTATAGGGGCGTGGGACTTGACTAAAGGCTAGCGTTGTGCAGGGACTACACACTGTACATACACAGCAGCTCAACACGTGCGTCAAATGCTTGTTTTCACCACAGAATGTTTACGTTTACAGATGTTCTGATAGCAGAAAGTTGTCTGTTTTGGAGGATAAAGGATGGTGAGATTTTAAGGTGAAGCGTACGAGAGTTTGGGAGACCTTCAGTCACCCAACGGCCCGATTGACCAACTTAACACACTAAAAATTATGCATCGCACAATGTGCGATGTGTAAGTAAGATTTGAGGCTTTGCATGGTGGAGACACTAAATAATGAAAGGTTTGAGGAAACACCATGTGCGAATAATTTCTCAACTAAGAGAATGGTTCTGTGGACATTGTTTCGCAAAATGCGATGCGATGCGATGCGATACAAGGGAAATCGAACACTGGTTTACATGCATGAAAATTCAGGGGAAATTTCATCATAACTTCCAAAATGAAGCTAAGTGAACCTCTTGTTTGGAGACAAATAGTTTTAAAACAAAAACTTCATGTTTGGGCATAATAGGAGGGGTTCTCTCACAAGTGCTTAATTCTGCTTAAAAGTGTCCTTTCCTGAACGAGAGAATATATTTTCAATCATATTTAGGATTAAAGCTGTTGTGCATAAAATTGTTAGGATGGATGCATCTCCTTGATTAAACTTCAATCTTTTAACAACACAGTTTATAGCATGGAATATCACAAGTGATAATGATAACAAGCTGTAACACTTACGGGATTTGTTTTGCTGGATTTTTTGCTTGGCTGAGGGTCACTGCGATCAGGACAGATAGGTGTAGTCTGTCGGCGGCTGGTTTGGCCCTGAATTTAGCCAAAGGGTATATCAAAGCACATCCTCAATCTTCCAGCAAAAATCTTGTCCTCTCTCTATGCAATACGATTTTACACCTATCCTTTACTTCCATCTTCCTGTTGTATGTTTTCTTTTCCTAAACAGTCTTCCCTCTGTTTTCACTATAGTACTATCCTGAACAAAACCCATGGCCGGCTGTAACAATATGCTGTGAGGCAACACTAGGGGTTGTGCAATGGAATGCTGGCGAATGCACTTTACAAGATTGGCTAGCTTGCAGCCAGCCGGAACTTTACGCGAAGTTGATTGGCTAAGATTGGGAGGTTTCATTATCTTAGTAGGGGTGGCAAGTGAAATTTTACTCGATTGGAACCAACAATGATGTACACCTCAAAAATAATTGAAACTGATGTGACACTCCCTTTCATTGGATTGACTTCAAACTTGGTACAAACCAAGACCATAATGAAAAACTGTGTTGTCAAGATGACGTCATCAAAGGGCATGTGACATCATCACAAAGGTGCATTTTTTTAAGCCTAATATTGAGAGTACTTTCAGTCAGAATTGTGTATGAACGTTGTCCAGTGCGTACATGTTATACAGGTAATTTTACCTGCAGTCATGATCAAACAACAGGTAATTTTATGTCATAAATTTGAACAAAAAGTCCGAAGTTTTGACTGTAATTTAACTTAGGTTGAAAGATTAACTACCAAACTTATCAAATTGTCATTTTCAGCAACCACAAAAACATCAAAAATCCATTCGATTTCGACTTCCTTAGGAAAAATGTGACATTTCGCCATGATATTTCGGATCATCCATTGATACTGTTAATGGTGTTTTAACCCTTTTTTGAGTTTTACATCGTTTATCGAATAGATTGTTTAAAAAAAAATATATTGTGATGATGAAGAACCTCGTTTCGAACAAGGAAATGTTTCGGACTTCTAAAATGGTGGAAATGCTGGTAAATTGTTCTTTAAAAAAAACATTGTACACCCCTAGACCGTAAATGGTGTGATCCACTTTCGTGACATTCTATCCCGTTGCTTGCGTGTGTTGTGCTAGCCTTTAGTCAAGTCCCACGCGCTTACCCGGACACGTGACGCACCCCGGATGCTGACACGTAAAAAGACTAGGACGAGCGGCGAAGCCGCGAGGGCCTTTACCATCTCGTGGAGAACGCTTATGTTTTTCTTTACATTTGTCTACCGATTTGGTAGACATGCATAATGCATTACCCATTGTGAATTGACCAATGAAAATGCAGAATTACTAACGTAAATCATGCAGCCGTCGTCTGGCCCCAGACAGCCATGGCGCGCGTGCTGTTGCTGGTAACCGCAAGCCACTGTTAGATGATTGGTTTATATTACTTGATTTATAAGTTTTACTCGGCCTCCGAGAAATGTTTGCTCCTGAAAGGATCCGAGACCGCGGCTTCACGTCCGTGGAAAAATGTGGGTGTCTTCCGCCGGGTCGCCCTTTTTTGTCGATTTTTTTGTGACTTCGTTTAAGATCGCGATATTTGAAGCAATGCATCGATCTTTCGTTGACCCCAAACAGGCCCCCGAAATTATAACGCGACACTGAATTATACGTGGCGGGCAGCGAACTCACAACGCTCAGCCTTGGTGGTGGTGGAAGCATGGAGCTGTAAACACATTATGGAAGCAACAGCACTCTATCACGCGACGTCACAGGCTTGCGCTTCAAATAGCGAGCACCGTAGACCCAACCTCGTTTGCAGGGTGTTGAGCAGGCTGCAGTACGCGTTGCCATCGACAGTTTTGCATAGCCCGGAAATACTATGCAGTGTAGACTTTCGATTGGTCAGACCGCGCAAGGCATACTAATGTGTAGTCCTTCTGAGTATTCGTTGCACTCGGCGCAGAAGCGGCAAGCAAAGCACAGGAAACAATAGGGACACTTGGTGGCCACGCACCATGGAGAAAAAATATTTTGCCAAGGTCACCCCATACTACCATTTAGTGAACACGTAAACGAAACCCCTACGTTGACCTCGCTGACCTCGCACAGTCTAGACTCGCAGTAAAGCCAGCACAGGGGGCGGCCAGGCAGTCAACGTGAAAGCGCACACGACGGCAAATTCGTTCGCAAAACGCAGTCACGAAAAATCGACGAAACGGATCGCCGGTCCGTACGGGAAATTAGGACGACCCGAAGTGTCCGACCCGGCGGAAGACACCCTCCGCATTTTTCCACGGATGTGGAGCGATTTTGGCGCCGCGGGAGCCCGCGGTCTCGGATCCTTTCAGGAGCAAACATCGTCTCGGGGGCGAGTAAACTTCTCTCTTATATATATAGATGTGTTTCACAGTGACGCTTAAAAATGCACGCACACTGTAAATAGTACACGTATGTTTGTACTTGTAAGTGTACATGTGTCGAACAAGTGCTTTCAGGTGATTTCGAACAGTTTGAAAATCTGAAATCACATAGAAATAACATGTACACATACATTTTTTGACATGTTGGTCTACATTTGACGTGTGTGCGTTATGGGCTACATATATTTTATTTTAAGCTATGAAAAAAAAGTGCTTTGAGGGCTTGGTATTTTGCGGGACACCCTGTATTTCATATAATAATGATTCAATTAATACTTTTCAGTTTATAACAAAGTTCCTTAAGGGGGACCAACTTTTCAGCATATTTGTATTGTAAAAAAAAATAAGATAATTTTTTTTTTATTTTGGATTTGAACAGGTTGAAAAGATTCGTAAAAAGCGAGGAACATTCATGGGTTCATTCCGCATTGCCCATGGTAACATTTTAGACGATGTAGATGCACGAATAGTCAATGCAAGGTAAATTTTTCTTGGAGTTTTATACATATCAGGATCATGACAATTTTTAATCTATGTTGTCGTAGCTGGACTTTATGTTTCATATGAATTTTATCTCACCATCATATATCAACAACAATTCCACTATTTGGGTCAAAGGATTTGGATGGATCACAACTAAAGAGTCCGGGCACTATTACGTGGCATAGAGTACCAAATTTGAAGAACATGCCATTGATTTACTTCAGATTTTAAGTTTTGCATCAATACTAGAATTCGGATTTTCATTGTAAATCATGAATTTACTAGGAAATATGCTAATTCAATCAATAGGTTGGTCACCATCCAAGATTTTGTAAAAAAGAAAAGAAATCAAGACATGTTTCAACTCTGTGAAGTTTCTTGGATATGATCCAAGGGAATATCTACCCATATAGATGATGGTCTTAAAACAGTATCATTTTATGTAAATGTGGGTCTCTCAACATGCTTTTGCTGATGGTTTACACTTTTCCCATTATTTCGCGCACGCCCCCCATTATACCAGATCTCAATTTTTTTATTTATTGCAAACTCAAATAAGTGGATGACACTTACTAATCCATTTGGAGTTGCCATCAGAGTTGATGCTTACACCTAACATCATTCTTGTCATGTATGCATGCTACACAACATGCAAACATTGCAAAAGTCAATAAGTGGGCATGTACTTTCAGTTTGAAAAAAAAGGTTAGGCCGAGTGTTTGCCATTGAAGTCACTACATGATTTTGACAAGCAACTGCAATGCACCATTTGATTTAAGTCCCATCACTTTATGTAAGTCCCATCACTTTATGTGAGTACATAAAACAGAAGTTCGGGCACTGAGCCCACACATGGACCAAAATTAAGATTCAGAAATTTCAAGCTCAGTCAAAAGTTGAATGAAAAAAAGAAAGTTTGATAACAAAAAACTAGGGCTACATTGTGGGTAAAACAATTTGAAGTAAATGTGTAGCTAAATCTTGTCAGTTGCAAAAAAAACAACCAGGTTTATCATTGAATGCAGGTCTGCTCTGGCAGAGGTCACTACGGAGCTGAAGGAACGGTTACATCGCTGGGCAATGTTGGAAGGGCTGTGCGATTTCAATATCATCAATAATCCAGGCATCCACCATTTAATTACAACGCTTGGTGTTACTATGCCTGAATCCTCCACAAGTGAGTTCAAACATTGACATTAGTGACTTATAGGTCTCGTTCAAATGGCGTCATTTCCTACAGACCAGCCACGTGCTTCGGCATTTGGAGCGTCAACTTACATAACGCACATCGGCTGCGTCATATTTCAAACACATTTCGAGCAACAAGCGCGTGTTAAGAACATTTTCAACAGTGCGCAATGCTTGCTTGATTGCGTAAAACATGCAGTTGCAGTTCTCCTACAGAGATGGCCGTCATTGAGCGAACCCTATTGACCCATTCTTACTTGGTGCATTAAACACAGATTTTCTCCCTAATCCATCACTTTGCAGGAACCCAATCACACATTTTATTCTTTGTACTTGAACTTCAAGGGGCATCCAGTCCCGTAGAGTAGTTGTTACTGGGCTCTACATGTACCTTCCTAAATCCTGCCAATGCCTTCCAAATTTACTTATTATATTCCACGATATGGCTGGTAAGTCATGTGGCCATGTTTTACAAGATGTTGGAATTCAACCTATTGGAATGTAAGCAGTCTGGAGTTACTTGTTATTTATCAAGAAAGTAACAAGCAACCATGAAAATGTAATGCCTTCTACAGAGACCAGAAAGAACCTGCAAATACTCATGCACATCAAAATCCGCCATGTACAGTGTAATGAAATGAAACTTCGTATAGATTGCACTGTGCAGAAAATGGGGATCTCAGAGTTACATTAGTTGTATTAAACAGCAAACAAAATAATAATGATGACATCATAATTCATTTATCACCCAGTCCAAAGAAGTGAACCTTTTGGAGGGCTGCTGCAAACATTTCCAGGTTTTTTAAAATACATTTTCAAGGTTATTAACACCCGACTGCTTTTTATACTCGCCCCACTGCCACAGAGTCAGTGAGGAGCGCCCTTGCATTTGGAGGTATGGGATTCGATTCTTCAGTCTTATTTTGCACCTTGTCATAGCCCCATCCACATTTGTGGAGCCATTTGTTTTCCATCTTCTCATCACCCTTTTGGCCATACTTTCTAACATACTGTATTCATTTCCTTCTCTGTTCATTCCTTTCTATGACAATTTTTGTTTTGTTTAAAAGGGTTTTATTTTTACCTTTTTTATATGCATTTTTAATAATCAGTAATTTAGGGGTTTTCTTGTTTCAAAGTGAGTTAATGCATAAAGGTACATGTGAAATCTTTGCTTTTTGTGATTTTGTTGTTTGAAACAATATAATTGTTCAAAATCTTCTAAAGTAGGGTGCAAACATGTAACAACATGTTGAAAATTTAGCCAAGTGACTACTCCATTGTTAAAAAAAAAAACGGGAACAAGTATCACGTAACTTGTTCGGTCACAAACTCGCATGTAAAAAGTGTGCCCGCGGGCAACGTTTTGAAACCACCTTCAAGGTATTTGATACCAGTCCTATGTTCACTGTGAGCAAGGTTTCTGAAGTAACATTGGTATGTATTTTTCTGGGTTAGTAGCTTAAATTTTTGCTGCAAGTCATAAATAGATGCAATAAAGCTGCATTGGATAAAAAAACAGTCTTTAGAATCTACCACAAATTTATCCATATTTTTTTCAAACATGTTAAATCCATTTTTGGTAATCTTGTTGTCTGAATGATTTAGTCAGATTTTCTTATGACATTTTTGATAAGGCGGCATCAATTTCAAAACAAAAATATGATTTCTACGACGCTCTTCTTACCCGTAGAGTATTACTACAGGGTGAGTCAATGAAAGCGGAACCCAAACCCCATAAAATATATTTCTTATTTAAAAAAATATGTAGCACCAAAAATAATAATGACTGGAAAGCCAATTTCATAAGCTACTTTTAGATGAAAAATTACTGAAATTGCTCAATCGTTTTAAAGAATCTCACCATTTAACCCTTTGAAGCCTGAATTATATATGAGCGTTGACCTCCTGACCCTGAACTATTTACATATATTATCTCAGATTAACATATGTTTTGTGTTTAACATAAATGGTGATAATTTCTGAACAGATTGACCAATTTCAGTTTTTCATCTAAAAGTACCTTATGAAATTGGCTTTCCAGTCATTATTATTTTTGGTGCTACATATTTGTTCAACTATGAAATAAAATGTGGGGGTTTGGGTTCCGCTGTTTTTTATTCACCCTGAACATATGCAATATTCCCTAGAAGGCGCTAGCCATTCGCTAAAATTTATTACCCACAGTACATTGCGGCCCACCTGCCACACTTCCTCTTTTCTCTTTTTTTTTAGTGGCGTTTTGTGAAAGACGTATATTTACAAAGCTCTCGCTTTGCACATTTTCTCAGTCTTTCCTCGGCCATTTTATAGCTAAGTTCATAGTTTTATTCAACTGTATGTCTTCTGTTGTTACTTCTACACGTTGAGTGAGTTTTTGTAATATTTTGGCCGTTTTTTCGTGATATTTCTTTGATTGTTACGGGTACATTTCGGGAGTGAGGTCTTACACAGCACAGGTTGCCGGTCCCTCACTCTTGTTGCACAGTTATTACGAGACCATGTGCCTGAGGCTTCGCACAGGTTACAAGTACTTCTTGCCTTACCCATTTAGCAAGGCTTCACACAGGCTGCAAGGAGCTCGCTTCCCACATTAACAAGTCCACTTTTTAACGTGAGACTTAACAAAGGCTGCAGGAAACTCATGTCGTACAGAGCAAGTAAGGCCTTGCACAAGCTGCTGGCTACTCACTTTGTGCCCGTACATCACAACCGTTCACATGAGGCTTTACACGGTCTGAAAGTCACTCACGGATAAGGCTTTGCATAGGGGAACGTCGCACGAGTTGCAAGCCACTCATCCACTATTTACCGACCCATCAGCATGATATTAGCTACTTAGCCAATCCCTCACACTGCACCGACTATTTGGGGTCTTCGTCTTCAAAATGACTGCGGTTATTTACTCAGCGATACTGTGTCATTTAACCAGCATGTTTCGTTGTCTCACAGCTGTTTTGCTGTACCGAACGAGGCGAGTGTCGCATGAGTTGCAAGCCACTTCCCCCTTACCTACATTACAAGTTGCCATCCAATCAGCATGATATTTTTCGCTTTTCATCACATCCCTCATGCCAGCACGAACGCCACTATTTAACCAGCGTTTCGCTGTTATTTAAATGGGAGCTTTTGTTGTCTCACAGCAGTGTTGCTGTACAGAACAGATGAGACATTGCACGGGGCGAGTGCCGCAAGAGTTGCAAGCCACCCCCCCCCCCTCCTTGCCTACGCTACCAGTTACCGTCCAGTCAGCATGAGATTTCGGCATTAGCAGATCCTTCACACTGAACCAAATACTCGGTGCTTTTGTCTTCTACACGAACACCCCTATTTAACTGGCGAATCGCTGTTATTTATCTGGCAGTTTTGTTATCTACACACTTTCGCAGTTGCACGCTTCCGACATACTACTTAATTTATACTAGAATATTAGAGCGATACATACTTTGTACGATAGGCCTGTCGCTCTCTTTCAGACTAGTTTACTGGCCCCCTGAAAATCGTGCTGGCCGCCACACTATTGCTCTGGCCGTTCCGATTATTTCGGTTGCTGTTTTTAAGGATCCTTTTATTTGAGCCTTTTTCCCCATTCTGAAGTCATGTCATCCACGGGCTCCCAAAAAGAAATCTTCGGTGATTTCCAAACCCAGGAACACCTAAAAGATTCAGCCCAGTCCTGCCCATGAGGAGATCGCTGGCCACGCGACCACATCCAACACTACTCAGCCGGCCTCATCGGCCATATCCACGGCCCCAATATCTGGCGATCCTAGTGCCAGGGCCCCGCCTGCTAAGACGGTGACTGAACTTTGTTCACCCCAGCCTTTGGTTTGGTTTCTCTGATTGGTTCAGTAACATCAGACTTCCCGCTGCTTCTGGAGTCCCTCTACAATCAGAAGCTGATTCATCTTCTTAGAAGAAGAAGAAATGCAGGTCAACATATATGTCCACTGATAGTTCTGTCAGCCACAAGTGACATATGTCTTCTCTTAAGGACACCGCTTTGGTTCAAGCAATTCAGAACTTGTCTGAAACCTTGTCAGCCATCTCCAAACAGACAGTAGTCTGTTTGGAGCGGCTGATCTGGGCTCGTCGCCCCCTTATCAGCTCCGGCCGCCTCCAAACCCTGTCAAACCCCACACGATTTCCTGTCCACCGGACTCTCCAATCATGTCGGTATTTGCCCCTAGTTCTCTAGGTGCTCCTATGCTGTCTGAACTTCTTGCCAAAGACCAAGATGTTGCCTCTTCTCAGTCATTTTGTGAGGTCGAGGCCGAATATGAAGAGGACTTGAGTATGCCAGCCTCCATGGCCTCGCTTTATCACCTGGTACAACAAATATGAGACATTCATTGGGATTCCCTGAACCTGTGAAGATCGCACCTACTACACAGCCAAAATTATTCAAATAACTAATGGCTCCTGACTCGCTAGTCTCTCCGGCCCGATCCCACCCCAGTGGTTCCCTTCGATCAGGTTTGCTCGCAACAGATTCAGTTTGTATTTGACCAACCCAAACTGCGTTGACCTATTTGCCTTTTGAGTTTATACTCCTTCCCGGCAGACGAGAGGACCCAGTATCTCACCACGCCTACCGATGCTGACAACGTGCGTGATAAACTGGCCCCCGATTCTGGTCATTGGGGTGATGTTCTGCAAGTCCACGAGCCACCTCCCACCCTTTGGTCTTGACTGCCGCCTTTCGGCAGTGGTTCGGCTGGCAGAAGTGATTATGCTCACCAACAATGGGCCCCCATCACAGGACCCCTCAGTGCCCATTTGCCCCATTGTGCCAGGTCCTGGATCCACATCACTTCGGACTGGTGGGTACTTGCCACCATCTCACTCGGTTACTGCCTGGAGTTCAACCGCTTCATAAAACCCACATGGTTTCACATGGACACTCTCGACTCTCTGCTAATCTCTTGCTGGGCCACCTGCCTGGATCTCAAGGACGCGTATCTGCATGTTCTGATCAACCCAGACCACACCAGTTGAGTCGAATCAGCGACTCAAAGACTAGAGTTGAATTTAGTCCTTTGACTTGAGTTGAGTTGAGTCATTCTATTAAAAAAGAGACTCAAAGTCAATGACTTGATTCATTTACAACTCTGCACGTTCAGTGTATATGTAACATGTCATATCATGCATTCTATGTACATCTTTTAAGCATACGGTACCTCAACTTAATGGTGGTGGGCCAGGCAATGCAGACACATTTATTGTCATCCACACCTTCAGGGTTCATTAGAACAGTATCATACATGCATTATTGGCAGTTCCTCTTCAAAAATCTTTCAGAATTTCTAAAAAGTAAATGTTCTTATCCTACTGTGCTCTACTTACCCCTAGAGTATTACTACATATATGCATTATTCCGTAGAGGGCGCTAACCATATGCTGAGATTTATTACCAGCAGTACATTGTATCCCGCCCGCCATACTTCTCTTAGCGGCGCTACGTGGAAGACGTATATTCTCAGACCTCTCCATTTGCTCAGCCATTTATTATAGCAAAGTTCATTGTTTTTATTCAATAATTTTTGTTGTATCTACAAGTTGGGTGAGTTTTTGTAACATTTTGGTCAGTTTTTCATGCTATTTCATGGGCGTTATGGGTAGTTTTCGGGAGAGAGGTCTCGCAAAGCACAGATTGTCGGTCCCTCACTCCTGTTACATGGTTCTTACGAGACTGTGTGCATGAGGCTTCGCACAGGTTGCAAGTAGCTCACGCCATACCCATCTAGCAAGGCTTCGCACAGGCTGCAAGCTGTTCGCTTTCCACATTTACACGACAATTTTTAACGCTGCAGGAAACTCGCGTCGTACGGAGCAAGTGAGGCCTTGCACAAGCTGCTGGCCACTTGCTTACGCTCGTACGTCGCGACCGTTTGC